ATGGCACTTTTTGGTCCCAGAACCTCAAAGCATTTTGTAAGCATTTATTCATTTAACAATCCTCACCGCCATCCCAGGGCAGGAGGCAAGCAACAGATTTCCAGGGAAGCAGCAATTTGTCCAGTGAAAGAGCATACAGGAGCTGTTAAACCCCCTCACTTGTATTCTGCCTCTATTCCTGACTTCCTGTGGGACACTGGGCAAATTGCTTAATCTTTGTCTCTGTTTCCTGCTCATTGAAGGTAATGATGCTTCCATGTCTATGAGATTTATGGATGGGAAGGGGAGGAAAAAAACCCATCAGCAGCAAAGTAGTTGTGAGCAGTCTTGTTTTACACATAAGGGAACTGAGGTGCAAAGGCTTAACCATTATAATGTTACTTGGCTCTTGGCATTTTTCAAAGCTCATCATTAACAAACTAACCCTTGCAACCCCTTCTGCAGTGTAGCTGATTAAGTACTGTTGTGAATGTAAGCAGCGTAGGAAAAAATGATGTAACTTTTATGCCTCTTTCAAGAACTCTGCAGCAAGATCCTTTGAGCACCATAGAAACCATAAATGCTAAAGCATAGTCAATACACCATGACAAACTTTTAAGAGGATGAAACAATCCAAATCTATAATCCATGTGATGAGGTCATCCAGAGGACGAGTCATCTCTAATATGATCAAAAAAAGAGATGTCTCTGGTACAGAAAATTTGATCTGGCATTTTCCTCGGCCTTGGTGTGTTTCTTTGAAAGGCTTCTTTGTTCTGCAAAGCTATGAATAAAATGAAATCCCAGCTGATGCAAATGCTGATTCTGAATGGCTGGAAGCCAACCCATATCCCATGGCAACTCCTCCTCCTTCCACCATGTCAAACTGCCCCCATCCTCCAAACCAAGAAAGGGACGAGGCAAAAAAAAAAAAGTCACCGTGTTTTTACTTTAGTGGAAACACTGACAGCGAACAGAGCTTGAATGGGCGATCTCAAGATTCGCCGAGGGGAAACCATTCGCTTTGTGACACAAATAGAACAATAGTCTTGGGGTGGCTGAGGTCCATAAATTGATACAGCTGGTACAATTGGCTCGTTATGAATCTGTGCCCTTTTATCTGTGAATTGTTCATGAATCAACTCTAATTTCAGGAAAAAAAATCTATTTATACTGCAATTAGCCTTCAGATACTTTGGCTGGAAAGTTTCTACCAGTAGGCAGTTCACAAGCTGACTTTGGTGAGTACTCTCTATTTATGATTCACCCTTTAGCTGCTTTAGGATGGGTCGCAGAAGTCGCACGCCACTGTTTGCATCTGTTGTTATTTGATCAGCAGTTGAACTCATAAACTTATTCGGATAACCAGTTTTTATGTTAAGTAGCTTACAACGCTCCCATAATGCTTTGCTAGTTGTGTCAAGGGCCTAGCTAAACTTGATATGACCTTTTGTCACCTGTTTTGAGAATTGTCTAATAAGGGTCTTTTCCCTCTTTAGCAAATCATAGGCATTGTAAGCATCTTGCACTTCAGTGTTTCCTTTTGAAGGATGGCAGACGGTTACCAATACGAATGATTTGGCTCCCTGGTGTTGCGGTATTTCTCCTTCAGAGATAAGCACATGGGAATGAAATTGTATGCTAAGTTTGCTCCATTTGAATCACTGCGGTAACACAACAGGATAAGGATGGTTATGGTATTTTATAGTCCTGATCCATAAGTTAGCCGAGTTCTTTTGGGCTAGTTTTCTGGACTTTTATTTTGTGTTATCTAAGACCATAATTTCTCACATATAACACCCCCCCCAGTCTTGGGGCTCATGTCTCCAGCAGGGAAGCTCATTTCTTCACTAGAAAAGGAGCACTCCTGAAGACACTGTGCATCCCATGCAGTTGCCAAAATAGTTGCTGATTGTCTGGCTGAGCAAGCTGAAGTCCTGTGTTCACCCTCTCACAGCTGTAGCTATTGCGATAGTGTACATCTTGCCTGAACCAGAAAGTGGGCTGCTGGTAGTATATTGATGAGGCCTGTGATGTGGAAACAATTTATTTACAGGAACCTATGTAAAGAACTACTTACAGTAAAGATCTACCAGTTTTGCTACCACCCTTGCAAGGGTCTGGGGCCTAACCTTGTGTGATGTAGGGTAAATCCACATGGAAACAGAGAGAGTCCAACAAGTGGGGCATCTCAGGAGACAGTCTGGGTGATGCAGGTGCCACACTTCCTCGACACTCTCTGTTCCCGGGAGAAATGCGTCACATAGTCAGCCATGACGCTGGAAAAATTTTTTCTTCCCCCACTTTATTTGGCTTTCCAAAAACAAGGCACATGTTCTATTTGAGGATATATTGTATGCAAAAAATATGGTAGTAGTCTGCGCCTCCTTGGAAGCCTCAGCTGAAAATACAGAACCATGAATTAGTGGACAACATGGGGATGAATTGTGGGCCAATATATTTATTCACTAGGAAAATGAAGAAAAATTTTGGGAGGAAAAATGTTTCCCCTAATAATTTACAGCTTAGAGAATAGTCCTGAATCCTAAATTCATGATTATTCAAGCCTCTGACTGCCTGATCCTGTTGAAGTTGGTGGAGTAGTTGGTAGAGAAGTCCCTTTGGAAATTGAATCAGGCCCTTAACTGCTGTAATAGTATTGAATTGAACGCAAGATGTCATAAAGATAAAGTGCATTATCTCAGGACCTTCCAAAAGGAGAAGCATGTGTTGTATTAACATGAAAAGTGTCCCTGGGCTAAATGTTACCCATTCAGAATGTCCAGCCAGTATAATCCTGGGGTAGATTTTATTTCCATAGCAAGATGCATTGTTTTAATGGCAGCAATTGGAAACAGCCTGGAGCTTTTGGGTCTTGGAACAAGCCTCAGGGAAGATGGCTTAGTGGGCAATGGGCTTGTGAAAAGGGCAAAGGTGTATAAAGAGACAATTTATTATATGGCTCAGCAGTTGACCACACAGGCTCCTTCACCACACCTCTATATGCATCCCTGTTCCATTGCTGTAGGTAACATTACAGGCCTTTCAGCTTCTTACACACATCTCTTATCAGACTGTATGAACGTGCTGCAGTGACTCCAGGTGATCATTCAATATTGGCTCCAAGTTTCAAGGAAAGATCCTACATCTTCCAGCAGGAATTGCCTGCTGTCCTTTTGTATTTAAAAATATACTACACTAAATCTCTAATACCCAGAATATCCCCAGTTGTGTGGGACTAGCTAAGCAGATGGCAAAAAAAAAAAAGCAGGCATAAGCTAATTAACTGATTCTGTGGCTTTACCTCCATTACAACCTTTGGAGAAGGCAAAAATGCAAATACCTGCTACCGACACACAGTTCTGCTGTGAGCCACGGTAGGAACTGATGCCGTCTATCCCAGGCTCAGGCTGAACTGGGTGCAAATTTTAGCTCAAAATTTTACAGCCTGCTTGCACCAGGGGTTTTCACTGCCTTGTTGTCCCCGTGGCTTAAATCCCTGGTGTCGACAAGGCCTGGAGGACAATTGCAGGCAGCTGAGAGAAGGCGTCTCACTCATTGCTACAAGGCAGCTCATTGTCACCCTGTCAGGCAGCTCTGTCTCATCTGAGAATGAACCTGTCCTCAATCCAAATTCTAGCCTGGTGCTGACGCAGAAGAGAGGCATCCACTACAGATGAACAGCAGGCTCACAAAGCTTCGCGTTACTGAAACCATAAGGCTTGGCTGAAATCTCCATTCTCTGTACAGAAAAACCAATGACTTCATCTCTGGACCTGCCCTCACGTAACCTCTGTGTTCGTGGATCTATTAGGAAGTTCCCTGGGAGGAAAAACCTAGCTGCCAAATAAATTACACCACCCCAGCAGAGATGTGCAAGAGGCTCAACCTGGACCCCAAATTACTTGGAGCTAGGAATATTATGGATCCTCTGCAGATACTTGCAAATTTGTCTCTCTTCCAGAAGGCCAGGTCCTTAGATGGAGCAGACTGATGTAAACTCCATGAACTTGCATGGAGCTATGTTGATTTACATCACCTGAGAAGTTAATATGAGAGGTGTGTGTGTGTGTGTGTGTGTGTGTGGTAGGTAGGAGGGAGCGCAGTCTTTGGGATCTTTTCTTTCTAATTAAAAGCAGATATTTTTTGAAACACTTGTAGTGGAAAACTGTAATTTAGTCTGAGAATTTCCCATTTAATGCTCCCCTAATGCCTGTGAAAAGCTCTGAGTTGCAGTTCATGATTTGAATATTTATGGATAATTAGCCGGGAGAACTGCATGGAGAAAAGCAGGTAGATATTTTCAGAACGGGGTGGGGAAGGGGTAGAGTAGGAATTTGCAGATGTGGGGTCACAGGCAGTTCTGCTGTGGATTAAAGGATGTCTCATCCATGTAATTTATTTAAAGATTCACAAACCCAGTTCTGCTCTGTACGGGATCATGTCAGCTAACCATCATTACATTGTGTATCTAAGGCCTGATCTAAACACACTTGCACAGCAATGTATGATTTGTGCCCCTTACCCTCCTTTGAATTTGGTCCACTGGACTTAAGGCAGGTTATGTTGGTGAAACGGGCACGGCCCAGGATAAAAGGACTGGTGACTGGTGACTTTCTTCAGAATTGTGCCCTTTTCCTGTAATCCACAGTAAAAGGTGGACTCAGTTGTAACGACAACCTCAGTTTAATAATGCTCCTTTGCTGAGAGCAGAGCTGCGTTTAGATTCTTGTTGCCTTATTCCCAAAGAGCAAAGACCCTGCTAGAATTGCATTGAGTTGGTCAACAGGTTTCATGCACCAAGTGAGCCAGAGGGTCCCATGAAGAAGAGAAATGGATGTGACAGCAAAGTTGGCCCTAGGTTTACCGTAATTGTGTGTAGCAGTTCTAGAGCTCGAGATTGATTTTGGAGGGCTAACTTAAAAGAGTTAACTTTTTCCCTTTTGAACAGGAGCGTGAGAATTGTGGCTCAACCACTCCAGCATCCCGTCTGTCTCTGAAAGGTGCCAGCTCCTGATGCTGTAAAGGGAGGTGAAGACACTGCACAATAGGTAAATGTGGAAAGCCTGTTTCCTTGAAGCCAGAGGTTTGCATTCCTTCCAAGACTTTTTTTGTATTAACTGTCACAAGTCACAATATTCTTCTCTATAAAAGCACAATCTCTGTTTGGTTCAGACTAAATTCCTGGCCTCAGTAACCTCTTGTGGCTGTGAGTTCCACCATCTAATTATGTTTGGGGAGGGAGAGATATTTCCTCTTGCCAGGTTTGGATTTAACTTTCCATTTCACTGAATATTTCCTTGTTCTTGGGTTACTAGGTAGAGAAAACAGAAATTCCCAGTTTCCCTTCTCTATGCCATTCATTGCCAACCACTTTCATCCAGCTCCTCTTAGTCCTCTCCTGTGTATGACAAACGACCCTGATCTTTTCCGTTTCATTTAATAAGGGTTTCTCCTGTGCCCCTGTTCATTCTCATCATCCGCTAACTCGCTTTTGAGATGGGGTGACCCACAGTGCACACTGGATTCCAGATGAGGATGCACCATCAATTTTACATAATGGTATTATAATGAGCCCTGAATTTGCCTTAATTACCATATGCAATGTATTCCTAGCAGTTACTACATTTAGTAAAACAAATTCCGCGTGGAACGCAGTCATGTTGCTTATTTGTAAACAGCAATTTGCAAAGGTTTTCCAGGCGACCGCCAAAGGAATTGAAGATGGAGGGGAGGGAGAGAAGAGAAGAGACGTGAACGCTCCCTGAAAGCATTCACATCTGATGGCACAAGTCTATTGGGAACGTGTATGGAACAGAACAGAATATGTAAGCATTGCTTTAATCCCATAGCAGAGTGTGTTTTCATCCAACTCACCACTTCAAACCGCAACATCACGAGCAAGCAGATAGAGAATGGGAAGAGGTATCTGTCTCTGTCACTGAAATGATAAGGAATCATTCCTGGTACTGGTAGCTGGATAGTTAAGCATAATGTTTATTTAGTTTGGCGCTGTAATATCTACGGTATCAGATCACTAATCTCTGATGGTTTAAAGCAAAATGCATGTAGGGGGAGAACTGTGTTAGTAACTGCAGCAGATGCTAACTGATTAATAGCACTCAGGTGAAATCAGGGCTACACCAAGATGGTCCATATGCTCTTCATCAACCTGCAGCTGTTTCCCAATGAGTGTCTCATGGCAACAATAGAAGTCACACCGACATATTCTCACAGCTGAAATGGTGACTTCTTCTGCTGTTAATAGGTCTTCCTTTCTAGATGGCTATACAGAGTGTCCCATTTATGTGCTATGGCCATGCTGTCAAGGTATAAGTAATCACTTTCATACTTGCTGGTCTGCATGGTCACCAAGGTGTAATATCTGATGGGTAACAGATGTCATCTTTCTTCCAAGGCTTACGGCATTGTATTATTGCCATAGGTCCATCATACCTGTGAGGTGAAGGAGGGAAAAATCCCAGTGTGGCTTGTTCATTGGAAAACCCTCTGGTTTTTTTTTTTAATTTTGGCTCTGGGGTTTGTTTTCAGCGCCTGCAAATATACTTCAAAATCTAGAATAATACACACAGATCTTGTTTGTCTCATCAGAAATGAGGTCGTGTCCCCTAACGGATGTTGGAAACTCCCCAGTTGGTTCGGCTGGCCCGTATCCAAATTAATTTAATCTCCCCCTTCAGGTCATGGAGACGTGTTTAGTTCAGGAGTTCCCAGGAGTGCTAGGCATGCTGTACGTTGAAAATTTTGCGTTGTCCTGTATTTGATGAGATGTTGAAAGACAAAGTGGCCAACTGAAATTCCAGGGTCTGAATTGTCTGAGGAAACCTCCTGTAAGCACAGACTCTGCTTTTACTTAACGTGCTTAGGGACCGTGTGAAATATGGTGACTGAGCAGGTAAATGTACCTATCATTGTGCGTTAAACAGTGCTCGAACGCACGGGTCTGGCATTGGAGCTTGTTTGATTGAGATGGTCCCTAGGACTCGGCTCCAGCGGTGCTCTGTCTCTGCTTCCGAGAAAGTGCTGTGCAGTCGTTAACTTCCAGTTGGATGCCCACCAGGAAACCTGGTTTAACGCCTCATCTGAAGGGCATGATATGAGTCATTAAAACCATTTTTTAAAAGTCTACAGGTGACCTATGGAGCTCCAGGAGACTGATTCAAATAGAGCAGCCATTCCCATACACTCCCCATGAGCCGGGGAGGGTTTCAGTGTGACAGTCTGAGTTCATATCAACTTAATATCACAGTCCCCAGCATTATGGATTAAGCCCTCGGGATTGGGCTGCTTGAAGAAGTTGCTTCACAATAAAAGCGGGGATAAATATGATCTATGATGGGTTCCTGTGAGTGAGATCTTAGTGTACAGCATATGCTAGATCGCTAACTTCAGGCTTACTCCTCTGTCCACAGAGGGAGATGGCATGGAGCAGTTAAGGCACTGTTGCCTTCCAAGTACAGACAAGTCCTATAAAACATGTTCCAGTTGAATTCCCTTTTCCCATGAGTACAGGGTTAAACTTGCGGGTTCATATATTACTGCTTATGGCCTAAGTTGTGCCCAGTGAAATGCATGGGATCTGCAATGGAGCAGACATCATTTGAGGACCTTTGATTGTACTGTCTTCTGGCTGAGTGCCTGAACTGTCTTGGTGTTGCACAAACTGCTGTGATGCAAACAGCACCACAGTCTGATGTGCCCGCCAGCACCAGAGAAGACTTACTCTGATGCTCATGGTGCTGTGCAGGGTACAAGTCAGGGAAAGAATATGCACCTTCCCCACCCCTAGTCAAAAATTTCCAGTAACTTTCCACACATGCCAAGCCCTAATCGAGGCCAACCATTCCCACAATCTCGCACAAATAAAATTCAGTTGCCTCATCACTAGGATGTATCTTCTTCCAGCCAGATGTAATAGGTACATGTACATGTTCTCTCTATGTTATGCAGCACCTCTCTGCTGCTCTGTATCTGATCCACTAAGGGGATGGATGTGCTCTAAAAGGCAGCACAGGAAGTCAAAAAAGTGCCTAGAAGTGTTTTGGGCACATATAAGCCTGTTTTCAAAAACAACTTGGACATTTAGGTCTGTTGAAATCAATGTTAGGTGCCTTAAATGCTTTTGAATATCTGGGTCTGAGGTGCCTGATCCCCTTGCCTCCCATAATACATGTGACTATGGCCATTTGTAGATGACATCGGGGTTTAATTCTCCCTAAATTGAAGTGGTGGGGTTTGTTTGTTTTTTAAACGCCACTTCAATTTAGGGCAAACTAAAGCCCGGTGTCGTGTACCCCCTTGTTGGAGCCTGATCCTTACCTCCCTTTCCAGCGGCTGGGAGGGGAGCGCGAGTGGCTGGCAGGCAGAGAGGTCCCTAAGCTGTGGGGGTGGAGGGGCTGGTGCTTCCCTCCATGGCAGGGGAGGCTCCCCTCCAAGTGGCACCCGCCCTCAAGCACCCGGTTTGGGCAGTCCCGGGGGGCACCGCAGCCGCAGAGGGAAGCACCAGGCCCCCGTGCAGCTCATGCAGACATGCAGGCTCTGGGAGGAAAAACGAAAAACAAGATCAGGCTCACCACTTTTTTTTTCCCCCTTCTGTGTAGCCTGCCTTCCCAGGCTGCTGTCGAGCTGCCTGCACAGTCTGCCTGCACAGCCCCTGCGCTGCAAGGAGCCCAGTGCTTCCCTCCACCGCTGTAGGGTAGGAAACTAAAACTCCTCGGAGGTGTTTTATTTTGCAACACCCCAAAATCATTTTCTGTGTCCCAAAGGCGCATTACACCACCGAATGTGCTACAGTGGCTGGAATAAGGGGCGGATTTACAGTTAGTGGGGCCCTGTGATCCAAGCAGGGTGCAGGGCCCCCCTCCCATGCCACGGCACATCTGCAGGGGATTTAGTGTGGCACACTGGCCACGGTGGCTGGAATTTCCAGCTGTAATGGCTGAAGAAGTCCACAACCGGATGGGCGGGAGGGAGGGCCACAAACAAAACATGGAAGGCTCTCTGGCGGTGGCGGCGGCGCCTCGTGCCAGGGCACAGTTTGGTTCACAGTAAATCCGCCCCTGGTTGGGATTAATGCACAATACACCATCGAATGTGCAAACAGCAATGCTATTAAAGCGGTGCAAAAGGCATTTAACCCACTTTAAACCCTCTTTAAAATGTCGTCTACAAACAGCCTATGGCTCCCGAGCAGGTGCTTGCCGAAGCCGTAATAACTCGTGCTCTGCTGGGATCTCCAAATCCCAAGTGCAAGCTCATTTTGGACTGAAATGATGTTAAAGACATACTAAGACCCACTGTGGGAGAAGGGCTTTCTGCTGCTTGTTCTCTAAACGTGTTTAAGAGGAAGCTGAGGGCGCTGGCACGGATTGTCCTTCAGTGCTAAGGGATTTTCCACGATGTAGTGTAAACCACCATGAAAGTCTCCCGACTATTTGTTCACTTGGCTTTTCTTAATGACTATGCCTAATGGTCTTAGTTGTCCATCCAGCAGCAACAAGTTTGAACTTTTCTAATGCAGCAGGCTTCGTGATATTAGTGCACGTGGCTTATCAAAGCAATTTTTCCTGCTTTGTGAAATCTATTCCAGTTCTCTCTCCCCTTTACCTGTAAACTAGGTAAGAAAAAATAAAAAAAACCCTACTATTTGATGACCTTTCTACAAATCAAAAAACTGGCTCCATGGTCCCATTATCTTCCCTTATTAAGTATGTTTTCATGCTGTGCTTTTTTTTCATGCCCACAGTCAATAACAATTTAAATGATACTCTTTGATGCCCTTTGTTCACATCATTTATTTCCATCTTTTTATCTGATTTTGCCAACAGGACCTAATTTGAAAGAGGCTGCAGTTCATCGGCAGGAGGGATTTAAACACTGTTCAGACTGACATTTTCCCTCATCTCGCATCCCGTGGGGTACCTGATTGCAAATTTATAATCCACCAGAGGTCTTGCCATCAGAAGATACAGACTTACAGTAACAGCAACTAATTTTTAAAAGATCTCCAGCGCATCAGTGTCTAGGGCTGGTTTACACAGACTAATTAATCCTTATTTGACCTGAATTAACTCTTAATCTGTGTGAAATGAAAGAGCTTTACTGGGATACGGCAAATTTTAGAAGATGGGAAAATCCTTTCTGTGCACGAGGCTTCTGCCTCTGGGTGACACAGATTAAAAGAGGTGCTGGGTTGCTGCTGGAAATTAGCTCCTTCCTTTTTATTTTTTTCCCTTTCTCCTTTCTCCAACCAGAACATGCAGGAGAGGAGACATTGTTCGTCTTTCTTCAGCACGAAGCAGAGGAAGGTTATATCATTAAAAGACACTCTGGGGTTTGAATTAAATGTCAAATATGGTTTTTGTTGACAATACAAAGCCCAGTGTTGGAACAAAAACTGACAGTTCCTACCCTGGGCCCCAGATTAATATTAGGCCAATAATCAGATTTCACACTGGCTGGAACAGGGATGGATTACTATCTGGTAGATTAGCACAGCCACCCCGTGACCCCTTTCTGCTCTGCTGGTTCAAGGGTATTTGTACAAGAGATAGAGAACGGCAGTACTACACCATCAGTAGCTTATGCTACAGGCTGCCTGAGGCAGGAGGTGTCTTTCTATTCTGCATTTGTACAGCACCAGACACAAAGAAGTTCTGGTCCAGAAGTAGGGCTCTAGTAACAATCAAAGGGGACAAGATAGTTTATCCGCTCAAGAAGAGCATGCATCAAATTGATAATAAAGGGGCTTTGGTATCCTCAGATAAAATGTACTATATTGAGCAGTGTTGGCACAGTGCTTCCTGTCATTCATTGGTAGAATAGGCTTCTTACTGAGTGCAGGGGGAGGCTAGCTATGGCAGCCTGCAGTCTCAAGTAGGAGGATCTGCCTGCTTGGGGTGGGGGGACTGAGGTCCTTTATTTCGCTCTTCTGCTATAGCTTATTGGGTGACCCATGAGCAAATCACCTTGTGCTTTAGCTTCTCCTCTCAGGTCACTGTCAGGTTTGTCTGCACGTTCGTTGGGGCATTTCAGGATGTCACCTGGGACCTGCAAAACAGTGTGAGCAAGGAAGGTCTTTCCCCCTCCCTCCCCACTGGCAACCCCAAGCCTCCTCCACAACATCACAATGCCAGGCTAAAGGGGATTGCTTGCATCAGTCCTGTAAGTGAGGGTTACAGGCAGGGTTATAACAAAGCACCTCAAGACTAAAGTGAATGCCACCGCCTTTCCATTATGCAGGCTCCTTCCTCGTTCCACCATTATAGGTAGCTCTAAAAGGGACAGGCCCAATCTGATCATTAGCTATTGCTCTCCTCATTTCTCAGTCGACTGCCAGAGCGTCTGCAGCTTGTCTAAGGCTCTACCAGGGGTGCAAGGGGGTGCATCAATGCCTCAGTATCCCCTGGCCACAATGCTCTCTGAGTTAGGAGCTAAACTGGGTACAGCAGAAGCTTAGGGGTCGTGTTGCTCGATGCCTAAGGCGGCTGATGTTTCTCCCTTACTGAATCAGTTAGTGATGCCTACTTTGGAGTTCAAGGAGGCTCTAAAAGGGCAAAGCAGTTCTCCAGCAAGGGAGAGAGGCAGGGAAGTCAGTGGAAAGAGGGGGAAGTTTAGCAGTCTGTGATAGCTGAAATGTAGTCTATCCCTTTTGAAGACCATAAGAGGATTCATTTAGCATTCTGCCTTGTACCTTCTGAATCCCACCAGCCATAGCCAGGTGCTTCTAGGGAGTAGGTGATTGCAGTTTTACTTTTGGTTTTTCCCTCAAAGAGGAGTGCATTTGGGTTGACTTATTTGGGCAGAACTGTGAGCTGGCACTAGTCGATGTGCATGCAGGGTATAGAGCCCGCTGGGCTTGACAGCCAGACACAGTGAATGCTGTGTCACATCAATCCCCTACTCTATCAAGAGCCAGGAACAGATCTTTTTTTCAGAGAAAGATATAACAGTCTTTGTAATCAATGATTATGAGATAACTATAGGAGAGATTTTCTTTATACTGGGCACTTAGCAACTCGCTTAAGCCCTGCTGCATGATGACTGATGCGCCTTCTACCTATTTGCCCTGCTTATGTACTAGTTTATCATTTGTCCTTACAAGAGGCCCCAGTGAACATTAGGACTGCACGATATCCATGGCGGAGCAGGGAGTGGAGCACTGAACTTCTAATTTCTAGTGACTTAAATGGATCCCTCCATCCTATGTAATGTCACCACAAATGTCTTTATTATTCAATTAAATGTCTGCGGCTCTCCACCGGAGATATGCATTAAAAAGGGCCTACCATGTTCCATGTCATAAATGGTACCCTTCAGATCAGCCACCTGCCTAAGTCTCGAGGCAGTCCATTTAAAAGGTTTTATCTTCAAAATCCAGCAGGTTTTGTATCTTTATTTTTCGACTGCCCCCCACTTGTTTGCTTTTGAAGTATTTAGAATGGAAAATAAATCATAATCCACTGTGATGTTTCCATCATTCAGGAATACCATGATGTGACAGCCTCCGAGGATCACATGATTACAGTGATAAGGGTCTAGTTTGAAAATGTTTACCATTTCCCAGGTGGCTCTTGGACCTCAGACTGCATTAATGCTGTGCCATTTTCAGGACAAATGCCAATCTCTGTCTCGCAACAGATCATCATTTTAATGCCTGCTTTACTCTTTGAATTATGGTAATTTATTGTAATAGTGTGTTTTGACCTTTTCAGTATTTTGTATTTTTATTGGGTAGATGTTTCCTCTCTTTCCCCAGAGGTTAATGATACTGTGCAAGAGAGAGGGAGTACGCTAAGTCAGCCAATCAAGATACAGAATATTGAAAAGGTCACAATGCAAGAGCATTTTGCTAATTCAGAGCAAGGCGGGGTGGGGTGCGTGAAAATCGGAAGGCAATATTTGTGAGGCGTGCCGTGACAAGAACAGAAATGACATCTTGTCGGCATTCTAGATTAAAAGCCATCAATTTGGACGCGTTAGGAGTGATGCTCGTGCATTCCTATGTAACGAGCAGAAAATATGCAAACACCTGTTTTGCATGCAGGGTGACCTGCTTGCAGGTGAATGCCCTGGGGTCACAGTTTGGGTGCTGACATAAATGGGTCTGGCCCCCTTCAAATGGGAAGGTTGTATGTATTTCTAAAGGCAATTGGCATTACAAAATGGACTCCAACCTGTGGGGTAGGTGGAAATTGAAAGAGCCAGCACTGTAGTGGAAAAAACCAGAGAAACTCCATCGCCGTTTGGGTGCTGACCTACAGGTGCCTACCAAATGACAAGTGGCTGCTAATGAATGCATTGGCATTGTATGAAGGTCTATTGGTAAAAAAAAAGAATTGGTTAACAAAAAAGCAAAGTGCCTTGCTAAATGCAAAGCTGAGCCCAATGTTGCTGTGTCTCTTGATAACTCTGTTCAACATTACTGGTGGTCTTACTTCCTCTGTCACTCCACCGGACACAAATAGAAATACTTCTGGGCTTGCCGATGCCTGGTAAAGGAGGAGCATTAGCCAGCCCTTGCAGCATCCTGTTGTTGGGAGCAAAAGCTTAGTTTGGGACCTAAGCTTTGGACCTCTGCAGGTGAGGAGTGAGGAAGCACCGCAAACAGCTCAGCACCGCTATGCTGCAGGACAAGCGAAGAACTCTTGTTAGTGGGCTTCAGCTGAAGATGGTCAAGCAGTAAGATGCTTTGTGTAGAGAGAGAAAGGAAAGCTACAGAGCAATTAAGGAGGGAAAATGAGTATTAACTTAAATCTGTACTGAGGCACAGTGGCAGAGCAGGTGTCAGGTGTCTTGGTACACCTTGCTACACCTGTACGTATGGTGGGTCCTGCTCCAGATGTACGCTGGAGGTTCTCCTCAGTCAATCAAGCTACAACTGGGAACCTAATCACTGAGGCTGGGGTGCGAGGGTCAAAGGTGGCTGGGTGGGATGCTAACTACATCACTTCCTTAAGTGCTGTTGGCTTTAGAAATGGGTGCACTTCAAGCATGATCGGCCATTTGGTTTGGGTAGACCTATAGCTCAGGTCTGCAACCCAAGTTTGGGGCTCTGGGAATAGAGGAGTGCAAGGGGGAGGTGGTGTGGCCACGTGAACCTGAATAAATCGTTGGCTCTTTGGGGAAAGGAGGCATGCTTTTGTTCTGTGTTTGTACATCTCCAAGCATAGCAAGACCCTGGTCCTTGTGCCTGGGTCTCCTAGACACTAATAGAAATACAACCAGGAGACGACAATGCAGAGCGAAACGGAAAGAAAGATAAAATCTTTGCAAAGCAAGACTGTGGGCCAAAAAGATAAGCAAGCTCTCCTCAACAGTGCATTTTATTTCTTTGTTCCCCATGCTGTGCCCCTCTTCAATGTGCAGACTGACGTACTGCAGCAGAAATGGCGACATCAAGTTGCACTCAGCATGTTTGTACTGCAGTATTATACAGTACCGTATAACTGAGCCCCAGAGGCAGCCGGTGCAATCCAACTTGATATGCTAACAGGGAGATTGAGAGAGACAGTAAAATGCACTTTTTTTTGGTGGAAAATCACATTCCCAGGCCCCTACAATTTCTGCTGAGCCATTCAACTCATCTCTAACCAAGAGCTAATTTATGGCATTTACTCAAAGCAAATGGTTCCAGTGTGGGAGAAGGAATGTAGTTAGCGAATACAACATACATTACTTCTCAGCTCTCCAAGATTACCTGTGAGACACATGATTCCTCTTGCTCTGTGTAGGCCTGATATTTTTAATCTCACAGGTAAACATCAAACCATTCCCATTTATTCCAATGAACATTTTAGCTGTCCCTCGGTCGATGGCTACAAATGTCAAGGTTTTTCTTTGCTGGGGGTTGGTAAGCCTGCTGTGTAGCTGCATTGTGTGATGCTGAAACAGATATGGGGCCTCATCCTGCCATGGGTAGGACTGGATGGTGCTCAGCACCTCACAGGACTAGATGCACGGTACAGTTCCATTACTTGAATAGAGCTGTATTCGGGCTTAAATGAGACCCAGTGGCTTCACGTGAGCAGGAGACAGGATAGAAAGTGGCCTCGTTTTTTTGTCTGTTCGCTTATTTTGAGTTGTCCAATGTCTGAGCAGCCGTAGGACGTGGGACACGCTATCTTCGGGCGTGGTGGCAGGAAGCAGAAGCCGAAGGAGGGAGGGGGAGCCCAAAGAAAGCAAGTGGCCTGCGGGGAGGCAACCGCTGCCGCAGCAGGAGCAGATGATGGAGGGAAACAGCGGCAGCTCGGGGGCAGCAGCCCCCAGCCCCATGTGAGGGGAAGCAAGGAGCCCAGGAGATAAAGACAGCAAGAGCCCAGAGGCATGAGTTGATCCCTCGCAAGCTGCTTGAGGCCTGGGAGCTGCAGGTTGGACAGCTTCGAATACCTTATCAGGTAAGACAATGCTCCATCGTGGATATGGTATTTTTGGTCGAGCAACTGCAAGAGAAGTGTAGAGAAAAACGAACACCACTGTACATAGCCTTCATCAATCTGACAAAGGCTTGATACAGTCAACCGGCAGCGCCTTTTTCCTGTTCTGAAGAAACTGGGTTGTCCCCTAAACTTGAACATCATTTGCTCTTTCCATCGAGGTATGAAGGCAAGAATCTGACACCTTTGTCACCAACAACAGGGTGAGACAGGGGTGTGTCTTTGCTCCGCTGCTTTTTAACATCTACTTTTCCTTCCTGTTTCTTCAAGCATTAAAGGACAGTAATGATGGCATTGATCTTCAAAC